AGACATCAGCCTCCCACGCTCTGCTCCCAGAAGGGTCCCCTATCACCGCCTTCCCAGATGCAAGTCCTGCCTCCCCACCCAGAGGGACCCTGGCAACGAGGAAGGAGCCCACAGGACAGACAAGAAGCCTGGGCTCATGGAGCAACCTGGAGATACAGACCTCCCCCTCAGGACCCAGACCTCCCCACCCAGAGGATGAAGTCGACCCAAACCCACCCACCACCCTCCACCCGCCAGCCGACCGCCAGCTCCCAGGAGAGTGGCAAGCGACAAGGACGTGTAGGTGAGCTGTGTCAGCCAGACACCTCAAGGGGGGCCCACATGCAGTCAACTGCCCCACACACCCAGGCCACAGGTGAGGAAACTGAGGGCCACAGGAGGGAAAGGACTTGCCCAGGGCCACCCTGCCAGTGAGCAGCAAGAGCATGGCCCGCACTCAGATGCCGGCGCTCAAGCCCAGAACAGCAGCTCCCGCTCTGGGCCACCTCTCTGAGCACCCCAGACCAGCCCTCAGCACCCACCTTCCCAACAGACTCCTGGATGGCCCGGATCCTGCTGCCCAGCCCAGGGGTGGCAGGCTGAGCCTTGGGGGCTCCAGGTGCTGAGGATGGGCACAGTTCCTCCCCGGAGAGGCTCTCTGCACAGGGAGTGGAGAGGGAGAGATGAAGGGTCCGTGGGCCCAGCTGCCCAGAGGGCCCCCCAGCCCTCCCCTCCACGGCACACGGTCTTACCCGCTGGGCACACTTGGAAGTCCAGCCTGGAGCTGGGCAGGTCTAGCAAGTTGCGGATGAGCCGGGGCGCCAGGCACTCAGGCAACAGCACCACGGGCCGCAGGGCAGACACCAGCAGCGGCCGCACCAAACTGTAGGGTCTGAGGCTCCGCTCTGGCTCTGTGGCAGGGGAGGGGCGCAGAAGAGATAAGGGCACAGGCAGGCAGCATACCAGCTCCTTGATACCCCAAAACCCACACCGCCACCCATCCCTTCCTAAGTCCTGCTGCTGCTCCTCCTACACACACACACACACACACACACACACACACACTCTCCCTTAGTAGGACCCACGGTGGCAGTAGGCTCCTCCCTGATTGTCTGCCTCATCCCTGCCCCCTACAGGTCATTCTCCACCCAGCAGCCACAGAGGCTTTAAAAAGCAAATCAGATCATGTTAACTCCCTTGCTTTCAGCACACCAGTGACTTCCCAGATTCTCAGGAATAAAAACCACAGCCCCCACGCAGGTAACGCAGTCCTGCCTGAGAGCCTGGGGAGGCTGCCAGCCACTGATCCCACACCACCACCTCCACTCTCCCTTCAGCTGCCTCCAACCACAGGGCCTTTGCATGACCTGAGGCTGCCCAAAGCCCCACCCCCGCGCCACTCAGTCCAGTTAACCCTTGCCCTCCCTTCAGAGCCTAGGTCACACCTTCCCTGGTCCCCAGACAGCAGGGCCCCTGGCATGTGTCCCATGGCCCCCGGTTCTCCTCCACTGCACACCTCACACTCTCTAATTGTGTTCACAGGTGGGATTATCTGACCCCCTACCCCCAAGTTAGACGGCAAGCTCCATGAGGGCAGGGACAGTCACATCCCCAATGCCTGACAGAGCTGGTGCTCAATACTCAGCTGCTGTACCCAAGACCCTCCAAACACACCACACACAGCCATGCCTCTGTGCCTTCTGCCTGGAACGAACTCCTCTTTATCTTCGAAGGCCCCAGCGGAAACTCCCTCTCTTCCAGGAAGTCTTCCCTGACTACCCGCTCCTCTTGCCCAGATTTGCCACTCCCTCATCTGAGCTCCCACAGCCCCTTCTCCCTGTCTGGCCTGAGACCTCACCCTACTGCCTCCGGGAACCCCCCTGGGTCCTCACAGCACCCACCACTACACACACTCTGCCAGACAAGAACAAGTCCATGTTTGTCTGAACCCACAGTCACAGTCACGCCTACATGCACCTCCCCACAGGGTCTCCCTCAACCTTGGCGATCACCACGGCAGCAGGGTGGTCTTGTCTCTCAGGTCACCAGCATGACCCCCACCCCTGTTGGAACCCTCACAACAGGCCCTTCCAGGCCAAAGAGGCCACCCAAGCTAAAGGACACCCAGCGGCACACATCCCTGGACACCGGGAGCAACGCGGATACAGCTTTGCCTCCGCGCACTCACCTGCACAGGGCTCCAGCAGCAGCTGCTCCGGGGAGTCCCCTGCGGGCGCCCCCATGGGCTTCGGCCTCACCAACCGCAGTTGGTCCAGGGCTCTCTTCTTCAGCTGGGAGGGTGCAGGGAGAGAGGAGCATCTGAGAGCTCAGCCCCGCCCGCTCAGGGGGAGAGGAGGAAACGGGACCCCTGGCAGAGTGGACCCCACAGCCACTGTGGTCCAGGCTTGCCGGAAGAGCCTGGGTCAGCAAAGATGTCCTCCTCAACCAGGCCCTCTCCTGCCCCTCCCCGGCCCAGCGCAGTCCCCCAGGCAGATGAGAGCAGCCATCCCTGTGGCCCCAGGAAACCAGCCCGTCTGAGCCTGGTGGAGGAGCCTTAGGTCTAACCCCCAAGTTACAGATGGGGAGACTGAGGCCCAGAGACCAAGAGGAACCAAATGTCACATACGAGGCAAACTTTAGGGTCTCTTCCAATGAATTAGCAATGTGACCTTGGTAGGAACATTAATGAAACCAATAACGACATCTCTGACAGGTCTCGAATGCCTACGACATGACACTCACTCACTAAGCCCTTGAGGGGCAATAACTCACGGAGGCCATCTCCCGCCATGCACACAGCCTGAGAGGCAGTGCAACCCCTGCATTTTACAGATAGGGAAACAGCCTCAAGGAAGGCTCAGGTGATTGTCCAGTCACACAAGTGATAGTGGCAGAGCTGGGGTCGAATGTAGGCTGCCTGGCTGGGGCCCTGCTCTTCCTTTATCTGATGGCACTGAGCCTCACTTGCCCTTGTGCACAGCAGGGCTGGCCATGTAGCCCAGCCACCATCCAGGCGTTGGAAAAGGGTACGTGACTGCTGTTTTTTGTTTTTTGGGTTTTTCTGAGACGGAATCTCGCCCTGTCACCCAGGCTGGAGTGCAGTGGCGCGATCTCGGCTCACTGCAAGCTCCGCTTCCCAGGTTCACACTATTCTCCCACCTCAGCCTCCCAAGTAGCTGGGACTACAGGTGCCCACCACCACGTCCGGCTAATTTTGTTTTCGTATTTTTAGTAGAGACGGGGTTTCACCGTGTTAGCCAGGATGGTCTCGATCTCCTGACCTTGTGATCCGCCCGCCTCAGCCTCCCAAAGTGCTGGGATTATAGGCGTGAGCCACCGCGCCCGGCCTGCCAAATGTGCTAGGGGTACTCCTGAGTACTAGGCACACTTTACCTCATTTCATCTCTAAACTACCCCGGATGGTGAGCTCTGCTGTTCCGTTTGCTGGGCACATAGTAGATGACCAATTAAATCACCAGGGAAGGAGGGAGGGAGTGTCTTCCTAGGTTGCCAGAGAACAGAGCCTGCTAGCTCCCTTTTGGGCTCCACCCTCGGGGCCCCCCCACCCACTTCCCGTCCAGCTGTGCTCACATTACTGCGGGGGCCTCGGTGCCGGCTGGAGGGCAGGCATTTCTCCTGAACTTCTAGGAGCTGCTGGGCTCTGTGGGACAGAGTGACATCATGTGTGTAGGAAGAAGGAAAGCACCGCATCTCTTCTCCTTGAATCCCCTGCCCTGTCCCAGAGGATGGTGAGGGACTGCAGGAGGAGGGAGAGTACCCCCATCTGAGCCTTGGCTCCCAGGAGGACCCCATCCCCAGCTCCTGGCTCTGCCTCACCTCTGATAATTGGGTACGGTGCCCCGGTCCAGGTCCCGCAGAGTGAGGGGGTCAACCCGGGTGCAGAACCATTCCTGCCTCCGCTTGTAAGCCGGGTCCATCAGCCGAAGGATCTCTTGGGCTTTCACACAAAGGGCATGGGGATCTGCCCTCTCAGGCAGGGTGAGGTTGGCACGAATGTAGAAGGGCTCAGCACTTGGCCCCTTTGCCCAGGCTTCTAGGGCCTCGTGGAAGGACTGGCAGGCTGGGCATGGATGGGGCAAGGGGCAACAAGGAGGACGAGAGGAGGATGGTGAGGTCCAGGATCGGCCTCGGTGGGGCCATAGTCACGGCCCTCTCGAGGCCTGAGCTCCCAGGACTTCACCTTCCCCTTCTTAGAATGAGAGACTTAGGTCCAGAGGGAGCAGGGACTTGCCCAAGGCCAGTGCCTTCTAGAAGAGCCAGGACTCAAACCCAGGTCTCTGGACTCCTAATGCAGTGCTCCTTTTCTGTAAGCTGCTTACAGAGGGAGACAGAGAGAAAGGGCACAAGGACAGACAGAAGGAGATGTCAGCAGCAGGGGAGCCAGGAGAAGGGCAACTGGGGCAAGGCTGGTCCCTTCTCAGGTCCTTGATCCCCCTGCCCCCATGCACCACGGGTTAGAGGACCCCTCTAGGGCCATCAGCTCCAACTCCCAAGCCAGACTTACCCTTCGAGTCCATCAGGGAGGGGAGGGTGGATCCCTGGTTCCAGAGCAAGGTTCTCTGCTGGGCCTCGGCTTCCAGGCACGCCCCCTCCAGACCAGCAGCTTCCACCCTTTGCTGGGAGAAAACCCAGGCAGAGAGGGAAAGAAGTGAGACTCTGAGAGCAGAGCAGCCCAGGGACTGGAGGAAGACCGGGTGTGGGGGTGATCATGCCTCACAACTCAGATAGTGCCCCCTCAGAAACTGCCATGCCCAGCCCAGTCAGACCCGCCCTCATCCACAGGACTCCCCAACCCACCCAGCTCATCCGACTTGAAGTGCAGGGATGTAACGTGCTGTCAGTTGGCTCCGCCTCCCAGTCCCCGCCCAATCAGACTTCAATTAACCCTGGCTGAGCGGGCAACCGCAGCTAATCACAGCCTGCTTCCGCTTTGGCCAATCCCCAGAAGCTCCGCCCAGTGATCTTGATCCACCAACTAGGCGGTGTCCAGCCCGGGCCAAAGCACTGACCCCGTCCCCCAGCTCAGGAGGCGGGGCCTCACCTCTCTTGGTTCCATCCTGGCGGACCCAGGCCCAGACAGCACCCTGCGCACCACAGCCCCAGACCATCTGTCCCCATAAAACAACAGTCCATCTGGTCCCTTGTCCTGCGGCTCTGGGCCCCCTGGGGGGCTCCGGCCAGACACCCGAATAGCCAGAGACCTGAGAAGGGAGAAAGGAGACGAGAATTAGAGTCCAGTCAGTACTTGGATTCAGTTCAGCATTCTTGGAAAACCACAGTGATTCCATTTCCCAAGTATGCCATGACTGCCACCCCCAGGCCTCTCCATCTTCTGTGCCCTCTGCCTGGAATGCCCTTCCTTGCCTTCTCCACCTGGGAAATGTTGACCATCCTTCAAAGTTCAAATCACAAGCGGCCTCTCCCCTGAACCTGGGCACACGGTGCAGTGGAGCCTGCCACAGGAGCACTCCAACTTTGCCTTGCCACGGCCCTTTCGTTTCCTTCATCAGAACGAATGCCTCCAGGACCAAACTTCCATACTGTTATGCTCTGTATCCCTGGCACCAAACCCAGTGTCTGGCACATAGCAGATGACTAATAAAAGCTTGTTATACAGCCGGGCACGGTGGCTCACGCCTGTAATCTCAGCACTTTGGGAGGCCAAGGCAGGTGGATCATGAGGTCAGGAGTTCGAGACCAGCCTGGCCAACATAGTGAAACCCCATCTCTACTAAAAATACAAAAAAATTAGGGCGGCGTGGTGGCAGGTGCCTGTAATTCCAGCTACTCGGGAGGCTGAGGCAGAAGAATTGCTTGAACCCAGGAGGCAGAGGTTGCAGTGAGCCAAGACCGTGCCACTGCACTCCAGCCTGGGCAACAAGAGTGATACTCTGTCTCAAAAAAAAACGCTTGTTATGCTCACAGTCTGAGGAGGGAGGTCTCCATTAGCACGTGGCACAGATCTGAAGGTGGTTACAACCAGCCATAGAAGCAGAGAGAGGCTTCCCATGGAAGAAGTACCTGGGCTACACACTGGTGAAGAATAGACGCACTTTGGTGACAGATGGAGGAAACAGAGTTCCAGGCTGAAGGAATATATCAAAGCAAAGGTGTAGAGAACAGAACACACAATGTGTGGAAGAATTTAATAACAACAATAGCAGCGAACACTTCCTGGGTGCTTTCCATGCACCAGACACTATGCTGAGCTCCTTGTCCTAATTCTCATTTTACATCCTGGGAAGCAGCTCCCAGGAAAGGCAAGCTGGAGCCACCCTTTGGAGGGCGTGGAACAGAGGTGTCTGGTTTTCCTCCCATGGGCAGGGGGACCACTGACAGTTAAGACATCACCAAAATCCCCTTCATGGTAGGGTTCTGCCTGTCCCTGGATGAGAAAAGGTGAGGCCTTGTGGCCAGGCTCAGAGACAAATGGACCCAAAGTCCCCTGCCAGACACCTTGGCCTGGGGGAGGTGGGGAGACCAAGGTCAGCAGGTGTGCTGGCTGGAGAGGCAGCAGGGCAAAGCATCTACATCCACCCAGGAGCTGCAGCCCAGACACAGCTGCACTGCCCCCTGCTGCCAGCCTGGGGAGGGCGAGGCTGCAAGGACCTTCACCCAATCAGCACCGCTGGGGAACAGCCCTGCCCCCTCAGGTAAGACACAGAGCCAGGCCGAGGGGCTGGGCAGATGCAGGCGTGGGAGGCATCATTCAGTGCTCATGTCCTGGCTGCATCGAGGTGGCATGGAAAGGTGGCAGGACTGAGACCCGGCCTGGCTATGCCGGCCCTGGGTGTTTGGAGCACACGGTCCGCTCCAAACCCCAGGGCAAACTGTACCCTAGCCTGGGCAAATGAGCCGGTTGCTGAGCATCAGTTACCGCATGCATAACACGAGGCTGACAGTGGCACCCCTTGCCCTCTGTGGGTGTGGGCGGGGGGGCACATGAATAAAAGATAATGCAGGGAGAGGGGGAAACCAGAGAGCTCTGGGGCCTCCAAACTGCAGGCCTGGCCCTTAGTGGGTGGTGACATTCACTGGGTTGTGACTGGCACAGCTAGATAATGCGATGGAATAGAAAGTACAAGGCTATCCCCCACCCCAGGAAAATCCAATTATTATCTCATGACCTTTTTGTTCCAGGCGTGTGTACCAGGTTTCTCTCACTGTGGGTTGTGGTCAGATGGTCTGAGAAGCACAGCACGCAGGGCGCCAGCAGGAACTCTGGGGTCAAATGGCCAGGCCGCTCAGCTGCTGAGCCTCAGCTCCACCTACCTCCCTGGCTACTCGCTGAGTTTAGACATGGGCAGCTCTCAGAATAGGGCCCAGGAGACACTAAGTGCTCTGTCAAAACTAGACATTGACTGGCACCAGGTGTAATTCATAACAAATCACCTCTCTCACCTCAGTTTCCCCACCTGTTTCAAACCCACAGACAACTGACCATCACGGCCTCCCCAGACCAGAGCCCAGTGAGCAGCCAGCACCCAGGCTCTTCCGCCAACCCCACCCACCCCACCCACCTCTACTCGCTCCCTCCCCCACACCCCTCCCCTCTGCAATGCAAGTATCAAGGCTGACCCCAGCCTTGACCACAGGTTTTTCAGGCTCTTCTTGACAACTCCTACAGATCCCTGAAGACCCAGCTCAGGCACCCCCTCCTCCAGGACACCCTTGCAAACCTCCTCAAAGGACCAGTGACTTCTCTGAGACTCCACAGATCAGGAATACCCACTCCCAGCATCCTTGGAGTCTGCAGAGCCCACCTGGGGGCTTGCCAGGAGCAGGGTCCAGATAGGGTCCCTCCCAGCGCCCCCCCTGCCTCAGCAGGAGAGGTAGAGACAAGCAGGAGGGGTAGAGAAATAACATGGCAGGGAGAGGGGCTACCTGCTCCCCGCTCCTGGGACTGGCTGACCAGCTGGCTGCCTGTGGGGTGCTAGGAAGCACGGTGTCCCTAGCCACCAGCTCCCGGTCACCCGCCCCGAGTCAGGTCAGGTCACAGGCAGACAGGAATGGGGCAAGTCTGCCAGCTCTGCCAGCTCTGAGCAGTGACGGGCCACATGGCCTCAGTGAGTGTCCCCCAGGGCCCCGTGGGAAGATCTCTGAGTAGTCTGCATGCCTGCTTGGTACCAGGTCAGGGACCTGATGCTTCGACTGAAGCATGCCACACAGATCACCTCAGTCAATCCTCCTGACAACCCGATGGTTGAGATAAGGGAAACTGAGGCACAGGAAAGTTAACTTGCCAAGAATGGCACAGCTAGTAGGCCATGGAGCCAGGCAATGACTTATGGGAACTTTCTCTTTTTTTTTTTTTTTTTTTTT